TCACACCTGTAATCCCAGCACTTTGGGAGGCCAAGGCAGGCGGATCACCTGAGGTCAGGAGTTTGAGATCATCCTGGCCAACATGGTGAAACCCCATCTCTACTAAAAATACAAAAAATTAGCCAGATGTGGTGGTGGGTGCCTGTAATCCCAGCTACTCGGGAAGCTGAGGCAGAAGAATCACTTGAACACAGGAGGCGGAGGTTGCAGTGAGCTGAGATCGTGTCACTGCACTCCAGCCTGGGCAACACAGTGAGACCTATCTCGGGGAAAAAAAAAAAAAAAAAAAGAGCGTTTCATGGAGGGAATGGTCCAGAGTCAACTCAGCATTTATTCATTCAGCAACTCTGAGCACCTGCTACCCAGCAGGCACTGTGCTGGGGCATAGGGAGAGAATGGGAAGACAGAAACCTAACTTGGACCCTACTCTCTTGGAATTTACAGTCCAGATGGGAGGACAACCAAACAAATCTCACTCAAAAAAAATTTGTAATTGCAAAGATAGTTTGCATATATTAAAGAAATGCAATATTCCCTGAGGAAGTGGCATTTGAGGTAGACCAGGACAGAAGGGGACTAGATACAACACCAAAACAAACAATAAAGTTATAAAATAGATAAATTGGACTTCATCAAAATTAAAAACTTTTGTGCTTCAAAGGACACCATCAGGAAAGTGAAAACAGGGCTGGGCTCACTGGTTCAAGCCTATAATCCTAATAATTTGGGAGGCTGAGGTGGGAGGATTGCTTGAAGCGAGGAGTTCAAGACCAGGCTGGATAACATAGTGAGACTCCATCTCTTAAAAAAAAGAAAAAAGAAAAAAAATTAGCCAGGCCTGGTGGCACACCCCTGTAGTCCTAGCTACTCAGGAGGCTGAGGTAGGAGGATTTCTGAGCCCAGGAGTTTGCAACCTCAGTGAGCTCAGTGAGCCATAATAGTACTACTGCACTCCACCCTGGGTGACAGAGGAAGACCCTGTCTCTAAAACAAAAAAAGAAAGTGAAAAGATACCTGAGCATAGGAGAAAATGTTTGCAAAACATATATGTAATAAGGGGCTTCTATCTAGACTACATCAAGAACTCCTAAAAATCAGTAATAAAAAAGACAACCCAATTTTTTTAAAGAAGCAAAGGATTTGAATAGACATTTATCAGAAGATATACAAATGGTTAATAAGCACATGAAAGCATGCTCAACATCATTTGCATAGGGAAGTGCCAATCAAAATCAAATGAGATACCACTTCACACCCAGTAGAATGGTTATAATTACAAAAATGGAAAACAACAAGTGTCAGAGAGTGTATCAGTTTGCTAAAGCTGCCATAACAAAGTACCACAGACTGAGTGACTTAAACAACATAAATTTGTTGTCTCATGTTCTGCAGGCAAGAAGTCCAAGATCAAGTTATCAACAGGGCCATGCTCCCTCTGAAGGCCCCAAGGAAGGATCTGTTCCAGGTTTCTCTCCTAGCTTCTGGTAGGTCCTTGGCTATGGCAGTATAATTCCAGTCTTAATGTGCCGTTCTCCCTGGGTGCGTGTCTGTGTCCACATTTCCCATTTTTATAAAAGACACCAGTAATGTTGGATAAGGGGCCCAACCTACTCCAATATGACCTCATCTTAGCCTCACTAATTACATCTATAATGACTCTGTTTCCAAATAAGTTCACATTATGAGGTACAGGGGATTAGGATTTCAACACATGAATTTTGAGGAGCCACAATGCAACCTATAATAGCAAGGATGTAGAGAAACTGGAATTCTCATATACTGTTGGGAAGGTAAAATGGTACGGCCACTTTGTAAAAATCTCGCAGTTTCTCAAAAAGTTGAACATAAAGCTATCATATGATCCAGCAATTCCAATCCTAGGTTTATGCCCAAGAAAATGAAGATGTATGTTCATTCAAAAAATTGTACATAAATGTTCAGAACAGCATTATTAATAATAGCCAAAGGGTGGAAATAACCCAAATGTCCTTCCACAAATGAACAGATAAACAAAATGTGGTCTATCACACCATGGAATATTACCTGGCAATAAAATTGAAGTACTGATACATGCTACGGCATGGCAGCATGGAAGAAGCGTGAAAACATTATGCCAAGTGAAAGAAGCTAGTCACGAAAGACCACATGATTCTATTTATATGAAATGTACAAAACTGGCAAATCCAAAGAGATAGAAAGTAGACTGGCTGTCTAGGCTGGGGGAGTTGGGGGCAGTGACTACTAAGGGGTTTAAGGTTTCTTTCTGGGGTGATGAAAAAAAATTCAAAATTGATTGTGGTGATGGTAGGATCAATATTCACAACTCTGAATATTCTTTTGTTTTGGGGGTTTTTTTTGAGACCAAGTCTTGCTTTGTCACCCAAGCTGGAGTGCAGTGGTGCGATCTCGGCTCACTGCAACCTTCGACTCCTGGGTCCAAGCAATTCTCCTGCCTTAGCCTCCAAAAGTAGCTGGGATTATAGGTGCCCGCCACCACACCTGGCTAATTTTTTTGTTTTTGTAGTAGAGACGGGGATTCGCCATGTTGGCCAGGCTGGTTTCAAACTCCTGACCTCAAGTGACCCACCCACCTCGGCCTCCCAAAGAGCTAGAATTACAGATGTGAGCCACCATGCCTGGTCTACAACTCTGAATATCCTAAATTGAACTGCACATTTTAAATGGGTGAATTTTATGAGTTTTAAGGTGTGTGCATTATATCTCAATAAAGCTGTTATTCTAAAATAAATAAATCCTAAACTCCCTCCTACGAAAAAGCAAACAAAAAAACACAAAAACAAAACAAAACAAAAAGGTCAAGAACATTCCAACCAAAAAGCAACCACGAGAAAGTGAACTCTAGAATGGCAGGAATTTTTGCCTGCTTTGTTCACCATCGTATCCCCAGCACCAAAACAATGTCTGGAAATAGTAGGTATAAATAAAAGGACCATGTGCAAAAGTCTTGTGTCAGGGAGGTGGATGGCCCGTGGGAGAAAGGAAAGATCAATATGAGTGACTGGGACTACACTGGAGATGACTGGGCTCAACTGAGTCTTTACCCTAAAAGCAATGAGGAGCAATGATGAACTTTTAAGTGGAGGTGGATCAGATTTACATTTGAAAAAACCACTGGGAGGCCAGGTACGGTGGCTTACTTGTAATACCAGTACTTTGGGAGGCTAAGGTGGGAGGATCACTTGAGCTCAGGAGTTCAAGACCAGCCAGGGCAACATAGTGAAACCCCCATCTCTACAAAAAATACAAAAAATTAGCCGGGCATGGTGGCACGAGCCTGCAGTTCCAGCTACTAGGAAGGCAGAAGTGGAAGGATCGCTTGAGCCTGGGAGGCAGAGGTTGCAGTGAACTGAGATCGTGCCACTGCACTCCAGCCTGGGTGCAGAACACAGGCAGCAGGGAGACTTGATTAAAGATAAAGACTGAAAAGTTGGATTTAAAAAAAAAAAAGTTGTTAGTGACCTTGGAAAAATCAGTCCAGGTGGAGAGATGGGGTGACTAATTTGGGGAATTGGAAAGGAAGTGGGACTGGCAAAATTATACTACACTTGATAAGGCCTCTCCCTATTCCCTATAAGTCTCCAGGGAAACAGACCAAAAATACATTTGGCTTGAGAAATAACAAAGACATGTTCCCATGCATATTCACACACAGCCGGTTCACCAGCGGATTCTGTTTCTGTTCAAGGATTCCATACTTCCCACCCTGACACAGAGCGAGGTCCCATGGCTGAAGTTCATCAGTGGTTGTCTCCTACCAGATGCTAGCCTTCTTTCATTGCTGGGGGAGAGGTGGGTGGGAGAACACAGAGTAGGCTGCCATCATCTGAGATTTGGGAGGCACTTCAGAAACATAATTCGTTCCCTTTTAGCTTCAGTGGGCTAGGTACAATCCAGAACCCAAAGGCAGGCCAAGCAGACACACTTCAACTCCACTCTCTGAAGATGGCGAAATGTTTTAGATTAGGACACTTCTCTGGTGTGACCAGACGTCTGAACTGAACCAAAAGATCTGGGTTCTAGTTCTAGTTCTGCTGGTCTCAGCAGCAAAGCCTTGGGTAAGAGACTTGACCTCTCTGGGCTTCCATCTCCTCATCTCAAAAATTAGGACAATAAACACATGCCCTGCCCTGAGCAGAGTGGTTACCAGTGGATAACAACCATGCAAGGGCAGATGTAGATTTGGGGGCCTGAGCTTATATAATCTCATGGTATTCGTTAAGAAAAAGAATAGAAAATTTAAAATACAAAAGTAGGTACAAATATAAATATTTAAAACGAGAAATTACATCATTCTACAAAATTGAAAAAGCTCATGCCAAAAACATCACACACAAAAAATTGAAAATAACACTATTTGTTAAATTAACTGCCTGGCATATCACTAAGCACTTTCTCACCACATTTTTTGGCTGTGTATTCTTTCATGGCTTCTTTAACAACATTTTTGTCATTCTATGAAGAGAAAAGGAAGATAATTGAGTCATTCCTCTCCCTAATGGTGGATCAAAATTTGCTATCGCTGCTAGCTTAGAAAAGATCCAGTTTTCCAACTCCTTATTTTAGGATGGTTGTCAAACTTGGGAAACTACCAAGCCTTTTGTTATGCGCCATAAGCGATCAAGGAACTTCACATTACCTTATACTGTGACCAATATATCTCCCCATTTTTTTGATGCTGGACATCTATGACCAAGACTTCTGAAACACTCAGGTCACTGTGCTTGTAATTCAGCACAGTAGGGACTTAGGGGTATTCCTGGAAGCCTAGCAAAAACGTAAGCATACACAGGAGCCACATAAACTCAAACTCAGTGTATTCCCTACTCCAAAATGCCTAAAACTGGCCACAGCCACTCCAATGCCTTCAGATAGGCAGTCACAGTGGAAAAAGACAGTGGTCTCTTTAAACCTGTTAAGTTAAAATCATTAAATCTGTTAAGAACAGATTTGGTTTAAAATATCTTAGTTTTGCTACTTACATATATTTTTTAAACCATGATCGTGTGAACACGTTGTTAAGACCTCCCTCTTGCATGGCCATGGAAGGGGCCTGGGTAAGTTTGAGGGCCCAGAAGCAGCAGCCCCGCTAAGCGTCGGGGTTATTTACCGTAAAGGCCCTTTAAAAGGCGGAGCCAAAGGGAGGTTGCCGGGAGGCTAGGGCTAAGCTGAGTTTCTCGGGTCGAGGAGCACAGTGGAGGCGGAGGGGCCTTGCCAGTCTGGCTCGCGGCGTGTGGCCGACCCAGGGTAGCTTCCCAAAGATTAAGCTGTGGCCTCTCCCAGCCAAACCCCACTCAAAGGGGACCGCTGACCCATCCCCGCCCTCCTGCGACCCCTGCTCGGTTCCCAGAAAGGACAGCGACCTCCAACCCGCCCTCGCCCTCCGCAGGTCTCAGTCTCAGCTTTCAAAAGGAGCGCGCCGCATTAGGCCCGCCCCTCACTTCCGGCTTGTAAATGCGTGGGTCCCACAGATCTCGCGATAGCGCGTCTTCTCATCGCTGGCGCTGACCCTGAGCAGCCTCGCCCGCGGTTTGGTTCAGGTCGGCTGAGGTCGGCTGCTGTGTTGGCACTTGGGATCTGGGCTTTTCCCCAGGCCCGTTATGTGGCAGCATCGGCTGGACTGTTAAGGCCTACCGGCTCCTTTAAGTCCACCCGTCCCTAAAGGTTCCTATCGAGAGGCTAGGCGCCGGGAAACGCCTTCAACCCTGTGCTCAGGGTCGTGCTGTGCTGCGCACGAGTGATAAAGACTCAGACGTCGTAATGACCGTTCTGGGCTCTCACTGGGTGCCGAACACCTGGCTCCACACACGTCTTCTCAATGGATACCCACAATAACCCCGAGAGAAAGGCGTGGTTTTTTACCCTCTTTATACAAATGGGGAAAGTGAGGCTCAAAAGAGTGAAGGAACCTGCCGAGGATCACAGAAAAGGATGCGGCCAAAACTCGAAGTCAGTCTGGCTGCAGCTCTAAGGCCCCATTACTATCGTAGAGCAGTTTGTCAACAGGTCCTTCGGTCCCTAGATTTCTAGGGGACGCTGGAGCTCATTGTGAAGTGCTGGGGCTTTGGGTCCACACAGATACAGGTGCATAGGAAAATCCAGGCACCTTCTTTGTTCTGTGACCTTAAACGACTTGCTTAACCTTTCTGGGGCTCATTTTTCTTCAACTGATGGGGTTAATAATAATACTTCACAGGATTATCGTGAGGGTTCAGTGCCTACTCCATAGTAAGCTCTCAATAAATGGAAATTGCTGCTATTGATAATCTTTTATCCTCTCACGTGTTGTACAGTGTTCAAGGAGCAGGAGGTGCTTAATAAACCAGAGTGAATGGTGAATGAATGGAGGAAGAAATGTAGAGTCTGGCCAGACACCGTGTGGTCCTTGCCTCCAGTTCCCTAATCTTATTTATTTATTTTTGAGACGGAGTTTTCGCTTTTGTTGCCCAGGCTGGAGCGCAGTGGCGTGATCCCGGCTTACTGCAATCTTTGCCTGCCGGGTTCAGGCGATTCTCCTGCCCCAGTCTCCCGGGTAGCTGGGATTACAGGCACTCACCACCATGCCCAGCTAATTTTTTTGTGTTTTTTAGTAGAGGTGGGGTTTCACCATGTTGGCCAGGCTGGTCTCTAACTCCTGACCTCAGGTGATCCGCCCGCCTCGGCCTCCCAAAAAGTGCTGGGATTACAGGCATTAGCCACTGCTCCTAGCCAGCCCCCTAATCTCTTACCCACTTCACTATGTGGTGCCACTTCAAAGGGCTTGAACTGGGGAATGACTGTTCCTCTTCTTCCCAAAACAGCTGTGTGTGTGTGCATGTGCGTGTATTTTAACTTGCTTTTGTTTTTGTTTTTGAGGCAGAGTCTTGCTCTGTCACCCAGGCTGGAGTGCAGTGGCGCAATCTCGGCTCACTGCAAGCTCTGCCTCCTGGGTTTACGCCATTCTCCTGCCTCAGCCTCCCAAGTAGCTGGGACTACAGGCACCCACCACCACACCCGGCTAATTTTTTGTATTTTTAGTAGAGATGGGGTTTCATCGTGTTAGACAGGATGGTCTTGATCTCCTGACCTCGTGATCCGCCTGCCTCGGCCTCCCAAAGAGCTGGGATTACAGGCGTGAGCCACTGCACCCGGCCTTGACTTGTTATTGAAGTAACATACAGAAAAATACACAAATCCTACGTGCACTTAACTTTTAACACAATGAACAAAGTAGTGTAATCAGGTCCCTGAGGAAGAAACAAATCATTATCAGCTCCCTAAACCCTTCTCCTGTTTCCCTCTATTCACTGCATCCCCTGCAGGGATAACCACTATCATGCCTTTCTTATGTTATGTTATGTTATGTTATGTTATGTTATGTTATGTTATGTTATGTTACTTTTTGGAGATGGGGGTCTTGCTTTGTCACCCAAGCTGAAGTGCAGTGGCATGATCATAGCTCACTGTAGCTTCGACCTCCTGGGCTGGAATTACAGGCCACTGCACCGGGCCACTATCCTGCCTTCCAACTGCATAAGTTAACTTTGCCTGTTTTTGCAGATGCCACTGGGATCATACAGTGTGCGCTTTTCTGGAACTTCCCAGATCTCCATGTGCCCTCACCTTCAGTGACAGTCTGAGAAGAAGCCAGGTGGGGTTGCTCCCTACATGGTCGGGGGTGCTGCCAAATGCCGCTCATCTCACCGTCACCTGCTGCCTCTCTGCCTGCCCCGTGGCCCATGGTTCTCTGACATCTCTCTCTCACTGAGGTGGGAAAGCATATTCTGTTTCTCATTCTCAGCTCTTTCATAAGGAGTTCCCACAGCAGAGATGTCTGTGTCCTGGTGAGCCTGTTCTTGCCATATACCCCAAATCTTTCCCTTTCCACCAGGAAGGCCTGAGGCCTTAGGGAGTGAGGGTGGAGGTACACTGAGCCCCAATGGTCATGCCCAGCCTCACAGCATTCCAAATAGCACTCCTCCCTCTGCCCTGTTTGGCGGACCCCTTCCCCGTCCAGTGAAACTTTTTTCTCACTCAGGGTGATGAGCTCTCAGGCCTCTGCTATTCCTCCCCTGCAGTCTGCCATCCACTACAGTCCCCCAGCCCACCAGATACCGGGGAACCCCAACTGTGGCCATGGTTTACTTCCTTTTCCAAGGATTTCTGATGCCATGCTGGTTAAGGGACATGGCTTAAGGGTCTAGGTGTGTTACACATGAGGAGAGTAAGGCTCAGAGAAATTTAAGGAATTTTCCAAAACCATATAATTTATAAGTGATGAGAATTAGACCTCAGAAGTGCCATTTGATGCAAGGCTAGAAGGCTAAGTGTCTGCTAAGGACCACCATTCGGTAAGACTAAAATGGGTGAGATGTCTAGGTACTTTACATGTATTACATCTAGTCCTCAAAACAACTTCAGCAGATCGGTGTTTTTATTTCAATATAGCAGATACAGAGACTGAGGTCCAGAGAACTTAATGACTCTGCTTTAGGTCACAGGGATAGTGAGAGACTAAACTAGGATTCAACCCCTCCCGCCGCACAGGCTGACCCCAAAGCCTGGCTCTTTCCTCTGCACTGTGCCACGCTCCCTGGAAGGATTTTGACAAGAACAGATGTGAGTGGACGTGGAGCTAAGACAGGACAGTTAGGGTACATTCCAGAGAGAGGGACACATGGACCACAGAGGGGCTGTTTCCATTTCCTATTACTGAGTAACAAACCACTCCAAAATTCAGTGGCTTAAAATAACCATTTACATCCCACAGTCCTGTGGGTTGACTGCAATCAACTGGGCAGTTCTCACGTGGGGTCTCTCAAGCAGTTCAGTCAGATGGTGGCTAAGACTGGAGTCATCTGAATGAAGGCTCAACTCGGCTGGATATCCAAGATGACTTTTTTTTTTTTTTTTTTTTTTTTTGAGACAGAGCCTCACTTTGTCACCCAGGCTGGAGTGCATTGGCGCAATCTCAGTCACTGCAACTCCCACCTCCAAGGTTCCAGTGATTCTCATGCCTCAGCCTCCTGAGTAGCTGGGACTACAGGCATGTGCCACCAGGTCCGGCTAATTTTTTGTATTTTGGATAGAGATGGGGTTTCACCATGTTGGCCAGGATGGTCTTGAACTCCTGGCCTCAAGTTATCTGCCTGCCTCGGCCTCCCAAAGCACTGAGATTATAGGCGTGAACCACTGAGCCCAGCCCCAAAATGACTTTTTAAAGTCACATGTCTAGCACCTCATCTGGAACTGGTAGGGCCTGCCCAGGCATTACTCTCTCTCCATACAGCCTACCCACGTGGCTTGTTTCGGGTTCCTCATAGCATGGTGGTCTCAGGGTAGACAGACCTCATACACAGTGGCTGACTTGCCCCAGAGGGAACATTCCGAGAGACTGAGGCAAAAACTGCAAAGTTTCCTCTTCCCTCTCTTCGGCAGTCATGCAGCTTCGCTTCCACAGCATGCTCATTGAAAAGGAAGCATGGACCGACCCTTTCAAGGGGAGGGGACAATACACAAGTGTGAAGCATGATTCACAGGGGACCATCTCTGGGGCCCAGCTATTACAGGGGCCGAGGCAGGAAGGGACAGATCAGGGAACTGCACAGTCATGCTTCAGTGGAACATGGTGCGCAAGTGAGAAAAAACTGGAGATGGCCGTTTATGGCAGATGGTGGAGGGCTTCAGTGCTGAGGAACCTGCATATGGATACACACTGGAGTCTTTAGCTGCCCAGCATCTGAGCCCCCTTCATATGCTGGTGGAGTCTCTCTAATATGAGTCTTAGTGAGAAGTCAGATACTTGCTCCCCTGGCCCCTGGCAGGAAAATCACAGCCAAATCAATGCTCCCAATCAGGACTCTAAATCTTCAGTAAGTGACCCAAGGAGGAAAAGGACTGTTTATAATTCACCCCAGAGGCGGCAGCAGCCAGTGCTCAGGGTGGTGGTAGCCATGTGGGAAGCAGCCCCCAAGCCCAGGGGCTGTAGCCCCTTAATCAGGCTGCACTTGGGACAGGATTTAGCTAAAGTTCTAGCTGCCTAGCTTCTCTTGGCTCCTGCTTGCTTCCTGAGCCTGGTCTTGAGGCTTCCCGTCAATTCTGTGAGTTCCCTGATGTCATCCCAGTAAATTCCTCTTCTACTAAGTGAACCAGGGTCTGTTTCTGTTGTTTGCAATTAAGAACCCAAATTGGTACAAAGATCCATTGAGAGCTTTAGTCAGAGGAAATGACATGATCAGAGCACTTTGTGGGAGAGAAAAACAGAACAATAAGATAGGGATGGATTGAAGAGGAAGAAAGAGGAATGAGAGAGGCTAGTAGGAAGGCCGTTGTGATGTTTGAGGTGTGTGGTGAACTAGGATATTGACTGTGTGAATGAAGTAGAAGAATAAGCAGATCTTGGTCACTGATTGA